CAGATTACTACTGGGATTTCGTGGGAGACCACATTGTTCGTGGACCCGGTCCAACTGCTGTATCGTCCATACTTGGATATTTACTTTCCGGTCCCATTCAAGGATACAGACCTAAAAGTGTATTTCCCAATGACGCAACTATTCTACACACTACTACTAATCCGTCTGTTGTAAACGATCAACTCCAGGCTTACTGGAAGCTCGAGACAATCGGCATCACTGATAATGCCCACCCTCCAGTAATGAACACAGACTTCGAACATTACAGAGATAATCATCTCAAAATCAAAAACGAACGGTATACTGCGGGGTTACCGTGGAGACAAGACCACCCTCCTCTGCCTACTAACTTTCGTATTGCAAAGAAAAGCACTCGCGCTATGACTCGTAAACTTCCACCGAATTTGTTAAAAACATATGATGGAATCATTAAGGACCAGAAAGTGCGGAATTTCATTGAAGAAGTTACTGACGACGATGACAAACGCGGACCACTGGAACCGGAAATTACCCGCCGTACACCAGCTAGAACCGCTGCTGCGATTGCCCGTCTACGCATACAGGACATAAATGACATATGAACTATGCAAATAACACCGAATAAACGGCAAAGTAAAGACTATGTCTAATTATAGTAAACACAAACTGAATATATTCGAACTGAATATACCGAACATTTTATAGTTAGCTTATTGTGACAGTTTGTGACTGTGTAGATTTTACGAATTCTCGAACTTTTATATTTACTCGCATTTAATCGATATCTATCCTGAATTGTATTTTATCTTCGCATATATTTACTTTCGTATTTTACTTCAAACTATCGTTTACTTTGTTCAACTTTTTGTTCATTCTCGTTTACATGACTATCTTTTATTTCGCGGCCCGGAGAAATATCAGAAATATAACTAGCCGAGCTTGATGTCGATTTAGGATTCTGCTTACAAATAATTTAGCCAATCATAGTACGTTAATTTTAGCCAATACAACAACCTCATTAATAGTTATTTACATATCAGCTCGTCTCCCTATTACCCAATCATGTACAAGGCCAAAGTCCCTTTCCGCCAAAATGCAAGGAATGTAAACTTGTGTATAAAAGTGGGTGTTTTGACACATCACGGCAGGAGTTTCAATAAAGTCATCTGTTATAGTGTACACCAGTTCGTCTCTTGTTATCCACCCCTGAACCTTAACAATTACACACACAGCTAACAATAAGCATGGAGGTAAAAAGAGACCTCCATGCAATAAGTAATTACAGTGTGATTCATAAGAAATTGTATGTTATTTTCTTGACGTATTTCAGACATTATCATTTTGATCATCCATAAATGGTTCCGGGGCATTATCTGAATACAACATGTTTATGGAACACTGATATGGAAAAAGATTACATGGAAATGTACATGATGTTCTAATCTCGACCAAAACAGCAGAAGAAATTGAGAAGCAGGAATGAGTCATATGTGTATTTCCACTGTGGAGGAATGTAATGCGATTGAAGCAGGCGCCAGAGACGAGTGCGTAGGCAGTGTCGTCCAAGTGATAAGAGCTAAGGATCTTTCAAGAAGCTTAGAAGCAGTAGGTACAAGAAGAATAGTGATGTAATCTTGGTAGTACGTGTCTCCCGTCGGTTCTCCGTGCAAGTAAAACAAATCACTACACTTTTCACTGTAGAAAATGCGATGCGATGACTGTTGTAAAACTCCTGGAGTGACGCTATGCCAAGGGGATTTGAATTTGTGTAAAAAATGTGAAAACCAAAAATTTCCAGATTTCCAAAGATTTCAACCCAGATCCAGCACCGAATACCAGCATGGCGGACAACAAACACTGCAAGAACAGAGATCCCGTAGTCCGTAGAGTCAATCTCGATAATGTCCAGCGCATAGTGTAATTAATTTTCGTACTTTAATTGCAGCCTACTACCATATTTAGATCCCTTTGAACACTATGATGAATTAATATACTTTTTTAAATATTACAAAACAAAGCCCTTTATTTTTGAGATTAACTGAAACATGGTTGCATTCTTCCCTCTACAACATGCCATCATACAATCTACTTACAAGCGATGACAACACTCACAGGGCGGAGGTGTTGCATTGTATATACATGGCTCTGTGTCCTTTGAAACCATAGATAAAATCAAAATTATGCACTGTGAATTGATCCTTGTGGAAACATTTGTTATAGGTGGTAATTACCGCAAACCAAACACTCCCTTCGACGAATTATTAATTAGTTTGAAAGAATGTCTCGACCAGTTGTAGGCCAAGGGCAAATCGTCGATTTTAACATTGACATCATTGAATTCATATAACTTCACTCAATTAATTAATAACCCCACTATAGTAACGGACACATCAAATACTGCCATTGGCCACCTGTTAACTAATATCTCCGACTCTATTATTTAGTGTGGAGTCATTGAAAGTGACGTTACTTATCACTATCCGATCTTTGGTACCATAACAAACCTACATCACGTATTCAGATTAAAATCTACATCTCGCATTTTCGAAACATTTTTGCGCGATTTAGGCGAAGTCTCTTGGCAGCCCGTATAGGACTTCTTGGATCCCAACAAAGCGTATAACACATTCTAAAACATTTTACACTATCACTATCACACTATCTCTCTGAGCACCTTAAGAAGAAAATGCCTCACATTAACAAAAAACATACCAATAAGCCATGGCTATCTCACTGAGCCACAGTCACTGCTCCAATACGGACAGTTTCGAATGCACTCACAGTGACTAAATGGGCATGCGCAAGCTGAGCCCACAGAAGCCAGCATAAATCGTCAGTTTAAATTTAAATTTATTTACTAACTCGTACTAATCTACAGGAGGAGGTTAAAGGTTACAAAAGACAATAACAAATAAAAATTAATCAGATTACACAACCAAAAACTAAACTAAATTGAAATTAGTAACGGAAAAGAT